TTCGTCAATCAAGGTTTAAAAGAGAATTCAATTGACTATATGTACATGTCAAAATGAGTCGAACTTCATCGGGCTTGCTCGTTTCATGGTGGATTGCATTTCAATAATATGATTAACTCACTGGTTTCATGGTTCAACATGCACAGGTTGTGGGTTGACTGTACAGCTTGCAATTTGGTCAAAATATAAACATCTAGTTTTGACTTTCACTCTCTTAATTATAGTTTTTTAATATGAAATTTATTGTCTATTATGTACTTATTATTTAACAGCAACCTTCGTTGAAATACTATTTATATAATAACCATTCAAATAAATTACTCCTGCATATTTTTTATTTTATAGTTGAAAATACTTTTTTAACAATTGGTAGTCATTGTTTACAAATTTATACTCAAAACATCTAATTATAACCTTATTTTTGTACAATAAGTTCCTATAAATTAATAATATTTTCTTTAATAAAGCTTATCAACTATGGTGTGCTTAATATTCTAATTTCTTATATTTCTTTTTATTACTACTTACACACAAAGGAGTTTTTAAGAGGTTCAATAGGTTCTACGAACCAGATCCCTCGATTTATGGCTCCCCATATTTTTTTTTAATAATTTATTAGTATTATATAGTAATATTATATATTAACATTTATCAGTAAAATAAAGTGAGTAAGAAAGAAAAATACAGATACATCATTTTTTTGTCGGTCCTTTTACTTCTCTTGTATTCAAAATGCTTGAGTCGTAATGAAGCGTGTTGCTTTAAATCAAGTATAAAGTAACTTTTAGAAATTTTTAATTACATTATTTAATGATTATTCAATTGATTTCAGTATAACTATTAAGATTGATTTTGTTTATATTAATGTGGGGCCTCAATTTTATATTTGGAACCGATGCCTCGAAATTCATTAGACGATCGACTTTTGCTTACCCACACACACACGACGTATGTAATTTGGACCAAATGAGAACATAATCTAAGAAGAAAAATGAGAATGAATTTGGAGTGTTAGATTTTAGAGTTGCTCATATGTGAAATAGAAATGTGCACTACCATAAATCGGAAAATGAGGTGGCATTTCTGGATAAGTACTTTTACGCCCATTAAAAGTACACATTGTTTTAATTATACATGTGCACATCCATTAAGCATGATGTGCATCGTTTCAGATCACTCTTATTTCAGGGTAATTATTTTTGAGATATTTTTCCATGTGTATTTTTTACATTGACCCGCAAGGCATGCAGGCTTTAAAATCCGCAAGATTTTGTTGGAAAAGAAGTATGAGAGAAATAATTTTTATTTTAAGAGGCTAATATTTTTTTTAGTATATGCAATTTTTGTGCTACAGTCAAGTGTAAATTTTTACCTACATTTACACACAACATTGTGATGCATAAATATAAATATAGATATACATATAATACTGCAAACTAATAGATAGTGCACATAATTAAATTTTTATCTAAATTTTCATTGGAATACAAATGAGTGGAGGTTTGGAAGTTGAATAGCTTTTGTTTAATTGTGTTGCCACATGTCATTTTCTCTACAAATGATGATGCCACATGTCACTTATTTCTTCAAAGAGTTCTCCAAGGGTTAGCTTTATTATATTATATAGATATCGACAAGGGTCATATCAACATTTTCATACTACTACTACTACTACTAAGGGTGAGATGCTTAGTAAGCTGCACTTTAATCACCTCTTTCGATTAGTAAGCAGTTTTTTAAGCAGCTTGTGTGTTTACTTCAGGACCGTAGATAAGGGCGTGCAAGAAGTGCTACCCGCACAAGGCCTCTCGATTCAACCTTCCAAATCGAGGTATTTTGGAGGAAACATGTTGATGACCACAAACAATTCACCTCTTACGTGAATGGACAAAACGTTAGAATATAAAAAGGTAACAAATAAAAAATTCAAAAATATAAAAAAAAAATTAAAAATAAAAATTAAAAAATTTAGAAATAAAAAATATTTTGAAAAATAAAAAAAATAAAAATTTAAAAAGTAAAAATTTAAAAATAAAAAATTAAAAAATTTAAAAATTTCAAAATTTAAAAATTAAAAATAAAAAACTAAAAAATTTAAAAAATTTAAAATTTAAAAATGTAAAATTTAAAAAATTAAGAATTAAAAAATTATAAAATTATAAAACTAAAAAAGTAAAAAATCAAAAATTTTAAAAATAAAAAATATTTAAAATAAAAAATAAAAAATTCAGTGGGAGGCTTTTATCAAATTTGAGATAGGTTAGGCCCGACTTCCCTACCTATACCCATAACGGAAGGGTATAATATAACGAAATAATAGTGATTACTGATTAGAATTAAAAAGATAAACACGGGAATTTTTGGCAAATTATACCGTATGACCGGTATACCATGCGCATGGTATACCGGTTCACATACGGTGCCGTTTTTCCTCATAAATGGACGACGGAATACATATGGTGCTGCTTAATCATTGTTGAATATGGAATACGGAATTTAGTTAGTGCCTTAGTGGCACTCCCCCACCCTCATTTCTTTTATTTCCTTTTCGTTTTTTACTTTTAATTTTTATTTACTTTTTTTACTTTGAATGATTCTTTTTTAATTAGGAGCACTAAATGTATTACATAGTAAATTTTTTTGATCAAATTTTCATCATTTCAAAATAAATTAATTACTTATTTTGTCTTAGTCGTTATTCGTATACTCCGTATAATTTTTTTTCTTTTTTTCTTCATTCAATTGAAATTACAACCAATTTTTCTATATACTTTTTTTTTGTAATATATTTTTTCATATTCATACACTTTTTCCTGTAATATAGTAGTATCTCTTATCTCTTTATATGTTTTTGGTGTTTCTAAGAAAATAAATTTCTTTATTTTGATTACATTTGATAAAATTTTACATTTGCGCATGTGTGAATTATGTTTCAAAACAATTTATGGAATTACGTTTTATAGTATATGAAGTTACATCTTCTTGTGCGCGAGTTACATCTTTCTATGCGCGAGTTACATCTAATTATGCGCGAGTTACATCTAATATTTTGTCAATTTTTACTTATTTTTATCTTTAACTAATTAAATTACAACTGAATTAACTTCTTTTTTTACCAATTTATTACAAAATTTTATTAACATACATAAAATAAGTATATTGTATTTCACATTCATATACTCTTTTTTACTTTTGTTTCATCTTATGAACGATTTACATCTTCATGTGCATGAGTTACTCTTCTTATAAGCGAGCTACATCAACTAAAGCGCGAGTTACATTTGGATTTATCTCAACAAGTTACATTCTGTATACACCTAAGCTACATTTGTCATTAGTTACATAAAAAAGTCAACCTCTGCTATTAAAAACAAAATATATTCATTATTTACTTGAATTAATTGGTCAATTAGACTCTTTATTTATCATTTTTCACTTTGAGATCAATGTTTTATTTCTTAATATCCGTATTAGACAAGTTACATTTCGACATGTCTGCAGTTATATTTTTTATCAGCTTGAGTTACATTTCATTACACACGAGTTACATCATTATGCTCCTGGATAATGAAAAAACAAAAAGAAAGGTTACTGTTCACACGCGCGTGAACAGTAACACGCGATTTTTTCAGCATGCTTCAAACGACGTCGTTTTGGGCGTAGGAGCATGATGCTCATGGTGGACCGGTTGCACGGTATACGAACTGGGAATTTTTAGATAGACCAGGCCGGTCGTTAATCCAGTGATTGGTGCTCAAGTTCGGCTTTGACGGAATCGGGCTTAGTAAAAAAAAGAAGACCGAGTTCGAGTCGAGTTTCAGTTGAGTTGAAAAATTTATGGCTTGATTAGTTCCAATTTGAGTTGTATTCAAGTTTTACCTATTCTAAAAATGATACTATGTATTTTTTTAAACAAAGAATTTGATTTGTTCTACATTTAAACACATATGTGCAATTATTAATAATTTCTTAAACATAACAGGGTTTTAAAATTTTCTACTAAAAATTTTCTACCTATCTCTTTCATAAAAAAATCTACCTAGCTAGTTGTCTCTTATATATTAGGTTTTTCTCCGCCGTCTATGATTTATTTAAACTTAAGATGAACTAAACCTACTTAAATCTGCTTGAGCGCGGCCTGAAAATGCATATTACAATCCGCATAACATTTTTCAAACATTGTTTAAAACGCTAAGTGTTAGTCAACCAAATAATAAAAATAATGTATGTAACATTTTATTTGTGATGTACGTAGATCATGCTGGCCGTAGTTATCACATGTGAAATGTTACATATATGTGAAATAATGTATGTAACATTTTATTTGTGATGTACGTAGATCATGATGGCCGTAGTTATCACATGTGAATGCCGCATGAATAGGATTGCAGTTCTACAATTTCTCAATGTACCTAGACTAGTTTTGATTCATACGTTTAGCTAGATAGGATTTGTATATCTTTAGGATTCCTTGGTACACTGCCTATTAATAGGCCGATCATATAATTCCATCGGAAGGGGTAAATTTCCATATTCTAACTCTAAGCAATACGGAGTATATGAATCTCTAGTTTATTCTTAGTAGAAGATAAGCACATAGTATAATTTTTATGCATAAATCTATACTATCGATATATGATGTAATGTCATAGGTATCAATCTAAAATAACCAACACCAACTCTAATCGAGTAGCTTGTGAGTTTCTAAGTAGAGTTTGCATATAGTTGAGTTTACTTGATTCGGCTCGAGTCGAGTTCGAGTCGAGCTAGAGTCACGTAAGAATCGAGTCGAGCTAGGATCGACTAAGAATCAAATGGATTTCAAGTAGCTTGCGTGTCTGCTTGCTTGATTAGCACCCTAGGGTGGACGAGAAAAAACTTTCAAATAAGGTTCTACGTACCATTCTTGTTAGTTACAAATAAAAAAGTTTTTACTAAATTGGGCTGGAGCTGGCTCCCTCTACCTACGCTCATAACGGAAGAAGCGTACATTAACATACTAATAATAAGTTTTTTTTGATCGTAAAACAGGCGGCTTTATATTAAAATCAAGAACGCATACAAGAAAATATTCAGACAGATTTTACAGATCCAATCGTGAACCCTAGGAGTAGACATAGAATCAGTCACCTCATACAAAGCAACCTGATTCGCTAAACCTGAAACGGGTAAATTTAAGCCTAAAACGAACAGATCTGAAACCCTGTCTACCAAAATAACTCTAAAAATCAAAACATTCAAACCAAATTCATTGTGACTAAAACTAAAACTAGCACTACTGAAGAGAAAATAATATTGCAATAAAATCTTTCCGCAAAACTCTTCCTGGTATGGAGGTGGTTCTGGAGGAGGACGGACTCTTGCAATATGTATGAATACAAATTCAACCATCGTCGAAGCGGACGACCAAGGCTTCATGATCCAGTACCGATACAAAATCTCATCTGCAATCTGTTCATCCACCAACGTTGTCTCTTCCGACATAATTGCAATCCCAAGCATCAGAAAACTTAAAATCAGAATAATCTGCCGCTCCAATCCCATATTGATGGGACGACGGAAAATCTTAACCCCTACAAAGAGGGGAGACGGCCGCTAGGTTTTAGAGAGAAGGGAGAGCTCCCTCTCTCTAGGTTTCGTTTGTGTATATACTAATAATAAGTTTTATGCAGTTGATACTTAGTACAGTTAAATTGGTGTACATTAACAAACTAGTGGCACTGTGGCAGCATTATCAAACAGCATAGCACATAGGATCTTCAGTTAATTTATGCAAAATGATGAATTATGAAAATATATAGACTCCTCTCCCTGTAAAATCCAAGTTACAAAAGGTTATAACAAATGAGATTGATGGATTACGTGGAGTGATTAGTTTGAATATATAGTTCATTTTCTTATATACGAAATTGCCTATGCTAAAATTATAAAATAATAATTGAAGAAATCATTTTCATGCGATCACACAAACAAATTCACACTCGCCAAGAGATCAATGATTAGGCATAGAAGTATCCATTGTAAAATGATCACAACAATTCATATGGCGGACTTCACTCATGAGCAATGCTAATTTTGGTAACACTTATTACCATACTCTTCAATGTTTGCATCAACTACTCCTCACAAATGATAAACAAAAAAAAGATAACAAATTTTAATGTAAACAACAACAAATTACTAACTACTAAAAAAATCCTAAATTGAGATAAATACAATCAACTGGACGTTGCTCGTGCTTACCATTCATGCCAGGGGCGTGGCTAAGTTGGGGCCACAGTAGGCCCTAGGCCACCCAATTTTGGTAACAGCTTTGAAATTCTGTCTGTAAGAAATTGTGTATATGAAAAAATCTTGATACTAAAGTCCAAAGTTTTTTCTTTAAAAAAAGTCCAATGTGACCTTTAGGCTACGCCACCGGTCCCCGCTCATGCAGCGATGGGGGAAACCATCTCTTTGCTCAAAATTAATCCCCACCCACCCCAAGATGGTAGGTTAAAATGATTAAATCACCAATACCATCATATAAGATAATATGATAGAAGATTAGAAAATAATAGGATAAAGATGACAATGAATTGAAGAGGAATAGAAAAACATAACTACTATCAATGAAACCATCTCATATTCCTATGAAGAAATTCAATCTGTAATTGATGAATAAATACTCAATATATTAAAATAACTATCGTCAAGCCCTAAGCACATTTAGTGGTGGACTCAGGCCGGGCCAACCGGCCCGGAAACGACCCGGACCGGTACTGTTTGTACCCGGCCCGGCCCGGGAACCGGTCTGGGTGCCGGTTCTGGTTCCATCTTTCCCAAATAAAAGCCCGGCCGGGCCCAGGCCCGAACCGGAACCGGCCCGGCCCGGGTCCAACCCTAAGCACATTAGGTTGGGAGGTCGCCTACAAATCCTACAATAGACCTCTCAACCCCTTATCAAGTTTTAAGATAAGTTACTCCATCCGTATCACTTTAGTTGTCCCGTTTGCTTTTTCACGTAGTTTAAGATAATGTAGTAGTACTGTAGCAGTACTGAAGCGGTACTGTAGCTGCTTTTTGGGTGAGTTTCTTTCCAAAAACAAAAGAAAAATGAGACAACTAATTTGATACGTTCCAAAAAGGAAACTGTCAACTAAAGTGATACCGAGAGGTATTAAAATACTCAACGAATTAAAAAGGAAATTATTGAGTAAATTAGGGATAATGATCAAATCAGAAATTATTAAGAAAGATTGCCTTGAAGGAATGGGAATGGGGTTAAGGTGTTGACGGCACAGTCTAAGAGGGGGAAGAAAGAGAATACACTCTGTATTTTATACTATAAATACAAGTCTCAACCGCCAACACCATAACTTGCACTCAAAAAAATCAAAACTGATTAGAAAATGGCCGAAGCAACAACTCTGCTTCTAACTTCCTCCCTCCTCTTCCTCCTCGTCTCTCTTCGTCTTCCATCATCAACAGCAGCGGAAGAAGATGATGGGTTATCTGTGCCTTCCAGTAACAATCCTCGTTACCCAATTGCCCAAGTGGGGGAGAATTTGATCAGGCAGCTAAACCTGTTTCCCGGCCGCCATGATCACCTCAGGAAAGAAGGCGGCGAGGCGGTTCCCGTGGACGAGCCGAGGCTTATCGAGAAGCGGTTGGAGCTCGATTACCTCGGCAAGTCTGATTCTACTCTTGCAAACCTAGGCCACCATGCCGGTTATGTCAAGCTTCGACATACTAAAGACGCAAAGTATGTATCTATAACAAATCGGCTGGTTGGTTTTAAAGTATTTGTCTCACATCGGATTAGTATACCCAGACTTATTTCTCATCACAATTGTATAATTGGATGTTCAAATATACTTGAATTGCAGCATGTTCTACTTCTTCTTTGAGTCGAGAGGAAACAGGAAGAGCGATCCGGTGGTGATATGGCTAACGGGAGGGCCGGGATGCAGCAGTGAGTTGGCTTTGTTCTATGAGAATGGACCCTTTCAAATTCAACGAAATTTGTCTCTTACTTGGAATGATTATGGTTGGGACAAGGTTAGTATCCCTCACGTCCAAATACAAAGGCTCTTCTATTTCTATACATGAAAACATTGAGTCAAAGAATTGAGCACTCCGTATAGTAATGGTCATATAGTGAATAATAGATAATTGTTACAAAACAATCTCTATTTCCATTCTAAGCGCGTTCTCGATCATTAATTCCCTTTATATGATCCTTCGTTTGATACATTCCTTTTTTGTTGTTGTTGCAATATTGTCACTCACATATATTATTAGTCTATTAGAACATCACCATCCATGAGATTAATAGGTGATATTCTAGTGACATGGCAGATTATTTCGGAGAGCATGGTTAAGTGACAGAGATTATTGGGCGGGATTAATTGATAGTATAATCCGAAATCAAAATATGAAACCAGATTATTTTGAAATTATTTATGAAATTAGAGTTAATTAGTTAGTACATGAGTCTACAGGACCCACAAAAGATAAGATTATTTCGGGATGATGGTTGAAAGTAATTCAGAGGAGATGAGACAATTTCTAAAACATTTATGTGACAAATATTAAAAGGTAAGAATTACAAAAATTCAGATTATGTCAGAAGCATGAACGTGAATACTGTAAGCTTGTATCTAATAGATAATTGATTATACTAATGAAAAAAACTGTCCACTAGTAAAACTGTAAAAGTGGGAGTCAAACTATTTGAAATAAAGAGATGGATGTTATTATACTTATTATTGTTTGTCTTTATATACTTCGTAGTACGGAATACTTCATATCATGTTTGACGCATTACTTTCATTACCGTGTTTTTCTTTTATAAAAGTAAGATAAAATATACGGAGTACTATCAAAGTAGTATATACAATGTAGCACTTAAGGATGAAGAGAACTCATGGGAGAAAGTAGTTGCATAGAAAATGTTGTTAATAAAATGAAATATAGGATAGATGGATGGTACAAATAACTTGAGCAGTCATACGAGCAAGTTTAAGGAAGGATTTAGAAATGAAGATTTATACTAATCATATTATCAATGAATGAATCCAAAGTTTTCTTTTAATTGTTGATACTATCTTATACGGAGTAATACAGTAATGTAGTAAAACTTTTAGGATGTTTTTAATTGAACTAGATCTTTTAATGGTCTATACCTAATTTGTTTAAACCTAATACGTAGTAGAACTTTTAGGATGTAAGCATATTCACAATTGTCTATATGATTTGGTCTCTACTTATAGCTGGTCTCGATTGGGTCTCGATTGAACTTCGATCATTGTGAAGTTGTGTATAATATACCGCCTTACTATAGCTATTCATTTTTAGAGTTGGATAGCCCACTACCAAAATGAATGAGATAAAGTCACATTTATATGACCATACGATTCCATAGTGGAGTCATACATGTTTCCACAAAATCCATCTATATAAAAACATCCTAATCCCAAAATCCCAAAAACCGAAGTGATGTTTGAGACAAATTGCTATTTATTAAGGAATGCGAGTACATTTATAATGAATCTTTGAACTTTCATTAAGCCATTCAATGTATGTATGTATCATCACTCAAATAAATACGCACATAAAACCGACAAACAAATCTTTGGATCTCTTTTTATAGGTAGGGCATCATATTATTTAAAATTGATCTAATTTTTAAAGTGGTGACGATTCTGGATCGCTTAATTCGCTTTCAAAAACCAAATACTTCAAATAAGTGGTGGACACATTTCCCGCTTATTAAAGCACTAATATACAAAATTCCAATCCAAATAATTCAATTATGTATTTTTGTTAATTTAAAAATCCCATTACCAACAGTGAGATTATTTCTATTCCACAAATAAAACAGTGAGATTCTTTCTAGCCAGCTAGTACACGTGAACGAGCCTAGAGTGGTTCAACTCCTTATTGACTTGAAGCACTTTGAATTAACTTTTAACACTTTACTGAAAAGTCATTATATTCCATAATGTGCAATTTAATGAGCCAAGACGAAATTTCATTGCTTTATTCCATTGGTTGCAGATTTCAAACCTGATCTATGTGGATCAGCCAACCGGAACTGGTTTCAGCTATAGTTCAGATCAGAGTGACACTCGCCATGACGAAAATGGCATTAGCAATGACCTCTACGACTTCTTGCAGGTCTAGCTTAACTATTTTTTAAAATGGAAGAATTATCGTTCTTCATTACGTGAGTATGTTGATATGCTCACTAAATTTACTCGTCATGAATTGAATGGGTACTTTATTTCATTTACTAAGGGACATGAAGATGAATTCATTACATTCTTTGATCAGACATAAAAATAGCCACTTTTGCTTAGTAAAATCATATTAACGAAAATGTTACAATAGTCTCGAGATAATTGATCAGTCATGGACATATTTTGAGTCATACTAATTCTTGATTAGTTCTGCAAAACTCATCAGTTCTGTAAAATGGCATGAATGGGCAGGCATTTTTCGAGAAACACCCCGAGTATGTCGAAAATGATTTCTTCATAACGGGAGAATCATATGCTGGGCATTACATTCCTGCATTTGCTTCTCGTGTTAACGAGGGGAACAAGATGAAGGAAGGAATTCATATAAACCTGAAGGTATGTATATATATATAGCAGCCTAGTCCATTTCCAATACAATATACTTCATATGTAATTGGGTTTCCGTTCAACCCTGTGATGAACCTTGTTCGGCTTTCGATATTTAACCAGGGATTTGCCATTGGCAACGGACTCACAGATCCATCAATCCAATATTCAGCCTATACTGACTATGCTTTGGAGCAAAAATTGATCAATAAGAGTGATTATTACAGAATAAACAAGGACATTCCGGCTTGTCAAGCAGGAATTAAGACTTGTGGTAAATTAGCTCTTCTATTCAATCTGTATTCTGATTATACTCTTCAATTTGGTATATGATTTTCCCTGATATCGAGTTTCCATGCATTTTGGTCTTTCCACCAGGAACCGAGGGGGGAGATGCTTGTCAGGATGCTTTTTATACATGCACAAAGATCTTCAATGAAATAAGGACGATTATAGGCGATAAAAATGTAAGAAATTAGGAAATCTTGTTTTTGGCGCACAGGAGTACTAATGTAGTATCAAAATTAGCTGGTAACAAAATAAGTTGGTTTCTATCATATAGCTTACAATTAAGTATTATTTTTACTTTTTTTTTACTCCGGGGGGTCTGGGGGAGGGGGGCTGGGGGGAGCCTGGAGTAATCAGGGCTGAAACTCACTCCATAGAGTTTCGAACCCTTATGTGCCTAGCGGGTTTCGAACTCGAGACCTCCCACTAAGCTGGGCTGGAATGCTTGGTTAGCTTACAATTAAGTATTTGATCTCATAAAAATCCCAGGTAAACCAAAAATAATTACGCTCAGGCCTATTGAATAACTTACCTCGACCAAACAAAAAATAAGATATAATCAGTTCCTTCACGTTTGCCTTATGGTTTGCAATATCTCATAAAAAAGTTAAAAATCATGTCTATTCTGAAATGCAGTTCTATGATATTCGGAAAACCTGTGATGGACCTCTCTGCTATGACTTCTCAAACATGGAAACTTACCTCAATACGAAAGGAGTTAGGAAAGCTCTTGGGGTCGGAAACATTGATTTTGTTTCATGTAATAGTGATGTGTACGAGGCCATGATACTGGATTGGATGAGAAATCTCGAAGCTGGCATTCCTACCCTGCTTGAGGATGGAATCAATATGCTTATATATGCTGGCGAATATGATCTTATATGTAACTGGCTTGGTATATACCTAATTAAGCTTTGGGTCATTTATGATAGTACTATTACTAAGAGAATGCCAATACAAAGCTTTAACATAAAAATACTACTAGTAAAACTACTACTTATAATATTATTAATAAACATAGTAATAATACTAATAATCATAACAATATCAGTAACTAATAATTATAAAACTGCACCTGTTTTTTGGATGCACAGGAAACTCAAGATGGGTTCATGCCATGGAATGGCCTGGTCAGAAAAACTTCGGCATAGCACCTAATGTTTCATTTACTGTTGATGGAAAGGTGAAAGGAACACAAAAGAGCTATGGACCACTCACTTTCCTAAAGGTCAATGATGCTGGCCACATGGTTCCAATGGATCAGCCCAAGGCAGCATTAGTAATGCTCCAGAGGTGGATGCAAGGCAAACTTACCGCAACGGCGTCTCCCATGTAATTACCATAAAGAAACAACAATCCAAAAGTATTATTGTTTTATATTGCTTCATTGGTATGAAAGTTTAATTTATTCATGTACATGAAAGTTCAACCTATGGGTTTTATATTTCAAATTTGCATCTAAAATGGCCCTTACACTATGTACCACATAAACAAGTAAACATTTCAGGTATAAGGCAGTATGTATCAGGAATTACATATTAAACACAAGACACAGAAGCAATCCTTCATCCAAAAGCATTATGGCTTTCTTTATAAGTAGTAAAATTTTAAGTCATTTTGATCTTCTATAAAAGGAACCCAAATATTTTACCAACTCTTGAAAAGAAATCATTGTGTTGTACTTTGGTTAACCCGAAACTATTATGGTACACTGGGTGAAACCAATGAAGGTCCAAAAACCCACATAGAAAGAACCAGTATAGGTAAACATTATGTGCACGTTATTCCATGGTTTACGTACTTTTCAATCAAATCATGAGTATTCACCAAAATTTCATTATCAGAAAATGATATAACACAAACATACATTTTGTAAAAAGATAACAAAGCAGGAGCAAATAAAAAGAAAATCATGTCAGTGAAGACGTGAGAGATTCTGTGACATCAAAAATCAAAAATATTATTACAAGACAGCATTCACTAAATACAATTCCCTCAAAGTTGTAATAATGGGCTGAAAACCAGACCTCAAGGGAATGACTGAAACCACTCTGAGATTACGTGCATTCCCACTTTTGGGTTGTGACAATGTAATCCTCAGCATCTCCCCTTCCAGAGCTTTACCTGCACTTCTAGCTGCATTAAATGTACTCAATTAGTAGAATATAACGGTGATCTGAATAGCTTCATTCTTTGCAGAGAATCACCAGCTTTTCTTCTTCTCTTACTTTGACATCTAAGGTCTTCCATTTTTCGTAAATTAACCTTTTGATTTTAGGTTACAATGTCCCTACCCATGGAAACATTTAATAAATGAGAAAATTCAATTTAGTCCCTCAAATTAGTCTCTCACTGTCAATTCAGTGCATTCTGGTCATTCAAACTGTTCAATCGGTTGCTACTTGATGGCCTTGATGCTACTATGGAACAAAACAAAACATCAAAAATTGCATGACTTTATTACTAAGGCCAGAGTGACTTAAATGACTACGTTCAAGAATACTTGAGGGACTAGATTGCAAGAAATTGACCCCGAAAGAATACAAAGCAAAACCAGAAACATTGAGGATCTAAGGATGTTTTTAGTTGGACTAATTTCGGTCCAAGAACAGACGGACTTAAATAGGCCAGGCCACCTCAGGCCAGACTTCGACAAGAGACAAAACATTGACTTGCCCTTCAACAGAATGTCTACTTGCTGCGAGATATATTCACTCTTTTTGGGCTTGCTATTGTTTCTGCTCAAGAAGCAGCCAGAAATATAGCCACTCACCAATCTGGAATAAGAAACATGAATCGCCAGAGTTTAATTATTCTTTTAATTTTTGAAGGAACGTTATTACCCAAGATACTAATCGAACCACTTTTAAAACACCAAATCCTACTTCTGAGTTCCACATAGAAATTGACGAGTGCAAATTACCTGCAGAAGGACGAGTCTTGGTGAACTCAAAGAACTCGTCAGCGGAGCAGCCAAACAGAACCCTAGCCGCTCTGTCAAACATTATCACCGCGATTACCTTGGTATCCGTAGCTATAGACATCTGCAATATCATTTACCGATAAACCAAATAATACAAAAAGAACCCATCATTCAAAAATACCGAAAGCTCAATAGAGGTAATCGGTTTCATACAAGGACACGGAAGAGAAGTTTGGAAGCAGAGGGTGTGGGGTTGGAGGATGCCGAAGAAGAACAGTACATACAAACGGGCGAGGGAGTGTCGGGATTGGGGTCAGGGAGGGGTCTTTCACATCCAGCGCAGACTCTATAGTGTATAGAGGAGTGATCCACGGCGACAACAACGCAGTGTGTGATGGCAGCTTCTGTTGGGAAGGGCCTTTTTCTCTGATTTTGAATGTCATTGGCGTTGCTGGACGACCATTCAGTACTCATGGGGGATAATTACCTAAGAGTGTTCGTCTGCGAGTTAAAAAAACATGGGAAATATCTAAAATTGGACCAAATATGATCATTTAATTAAGAATGGGCTGAACTACCCTAATATCATCAAAGCTTTTAAATTAGGGCCCGTTTGGTATGATGTAAAGTAAACACTTTGCGTGTAAAGTGAGGGGATGTGAACATTTTACACCGTTTGTTTTGAATATTTGGTGTAAACTGTAGGGTACTTTTTAAAAAACATTTTACACTGTACCGTGTAAAATATTTTACGTGGGAGGAGGGTAGTAAACTACTTTACACTCATTAATACCGAGAGAACTTCTTTTACAATTCAAGAAGTTTTTACGATTGTAATTAGCTGATGGCAGCAAAAGAAAATTTTGGCTGCTAAAAGCACATTTCCCCTCCTATTTAAGAACACAAAATCGTGAAGCAAATCACCACTACCTATCTTGCTGATCTGTGTTGCCCTACTCGATCTGCTCCTTCGAATAATTGAAGAGCTAAGCCAGCTTCTGGTTTTCTTTTTTTTTTTTTTAAATTTATCACCATGATTCCATGTTGGATCTGATCTCTACCTTGTTTTTCAATTTTTTTTAAACTACGTAATTTACCGCATGCTGCTTCAGAATATCAGTAGAAAGGTTTGTAGAACTTGCTATCTTAATACATTTGTGTGATTGAGAATGTAAGCATAAAAGCAGATTGTAAGCAACTAGCATCAACTAGCAGCAATCGGCTATGTATATGATCCGTTTGTTAATACGGATTATTTTATTATTTTCCAAACAAACATTTTAAAGAGTTTGCGTGTAATTTAATAATAGATTACATAGATAGCCAAACGGTGTATTTTTAATTTACACGTAAACTGATTAGAGTCCTACACTTTACATGCAAAGTGATTGCATGTAAAGTTTTAATGAGTAAACAACCAAATGAGCCCTTAGAGAAATGCTAGAGGTACCCCAAAATGGGGTACCCCATCTGTACCTCACTATATGAGTGGTTCACAAAACCCCAACCCCACAAAATAATTGCCCCACTTAATTCATTGCTTTTTTTAACCACAAAACTAGGGAGGGGTACAAAATGGGGTAGGATTTGGGGTACCAATAGCAATTTTGTTTAAATTATAGCACCGTACTCTTCAGCTCATTGCCTAGACAAACAACAGTGGAGTTATTTCCACATTGTAGGTCGCCACATCAGTTTATCGCCATATCATCTGATTACCATCGCAGGTCGCCACATCAGTTTATCCACATTATCCAAGCGATTCCATGTCATCCAACTTTAAGAATTGAAGTGTGTTGACACTAGGGTTTGAACCCGGGTGTGGGACAAGGAGGAAGGGCTACTGACCCACTACACTAATCCATTCTCTTGTGCATTTGACGTTTTGCTAGATACTTAAACCGTGTATACTTCTTTCCCAAACAATTAAAAAATCTATATAATATAATAAAGCAAACCCTTGAGGAACTCTTTAGAGGAATTGTTGACATGTGGCAACATCCTTTGTATAAAAAAATGACATGTGGCAAGACAATAAATTAAAGAAAAAACTATTCAACTTCCATAACTCTACTCTTATGTACCCCAATATTATAGATATGTTTTTATATTAATATATGTGTATATATGTGTTATAATGTTCAATATTAAATTAGGTAAAATTTTGCACTCGCCGGTATTACAAGATCCAAGTACTCAAAAATAAAAATATTTAACAATTGTTAGCCACTCTTAAAATAAAAATATTACTTCTATTTCTTTTTGCCTAAACTCTTGGAGATTCTCCCATATTCGGGGTGTTTTATACAAAAACTTCTTATTTGTTTCCAAAATATGATAATTACTACATCTTTCGTCTAATTAATTTTCTCCGACATATCCTTTTTCTTTCGTTCACTAAGTTTATGTAGCTCCAAATATTATAATGCATATGTAGTTCTAAATCATTCTTACATTAAGTCCCTACTTTTCATTTCAACATTAGCTAGATAAACTCTTTTTTAATAGCTGCACATATCTTCACAAGGTCTATTAAATCAATCTCTAAAGGATTCATTTTTTTCCTCATATTTATTTATAGTTCACAATTTATGTTCACGTTGTTAAATGGGTTAGCACTCCCCAATTTCATAGCTTGGGTCGTCTAACTGTCTCATGATGTTAAAATGCACATTATTGATTGGGGTGAACAATACACTTATAGTTAAAGTAATTTAGACTTTACAAGGATAAGAAAGGTAGATTTTTTACAAAAATGTCACAACATTTTTTACTTATTATAGCACAAATTTTTATTTCAAATGATGCACAATTCTCAAATCTAACATTTCAGTTCATATAAAGTGAAATGTAGTAGATCACATATTTCTTCTCAAAAAAATGTGACACTTATTTTGAGACAACCCAAAAAGGAAAGTAAGACAAATAAAATGAGACAGAGGGAGTAACATAAAGGACAACCTCATCTGCAAGTGAAAAGTGTTGCAATTATATAAACTGGAGTTCGGAGGTTAGATCAGAAACATTCAGATAATAATTATTATGATAATATTTATGATGATGATGATGATAATTGTAATAATAATAATGATAATGATGATATGTACACATACATTAATATCATACTAAGTGATATGTATTATGGAGTGTGACCATACCCCAATTATGGATAACAATTAAAGCCCATTACTCGGGATTAATAAACACAGCCCATTACTCGGAATTAATAAATAGTCAATTGGGCCTAACAGGGGGTCATGGCCCGTGTGGGGACCTCCATATCTAGGCTGACCTATTCAACAAGTCATGAGCTCGAACGGGATTCAATCAATGTTGGACTCACTCTAGGACTTATGTGGCAAGCCATCTACGAATGGATAACTATGTAGCAGTGATAGGAATTAAACTGAAGAGACGTGGACACAAATGAGCATTAAATGCGGGACTTATGAGATACGTTAGAAAGGTCCTTCCATGATTAGACCTATTAAATGTGTCGGTTATGTTTTTTAAGACTACGTACTATGACTTAACGTCTAGAGCAAATACTTTAGAATGTATTTTACCGTGCGATGCACGGGTACACAAACTAGTATAATAAAAACTTAACTTGAGTTATTCAATTAAAAAAATAAAGACCTAATAAAATTTTATAATAAAAAACATATTTCACAATATTTAATTAGAAAATATTAATTTAAACTTATAATAAAAAACATAATTTGCAATATGTAAACATTTTTTGAAATAACTCAAAATGAAATAAAATAAAATAAAATAAAATATAAGTAAATTCATACTAGTCCACCTCAATTTTTTTAAAAGAATATTAATAATGTAAAATACCATGTACATTTTAAACTTATAATTAAAAAATTAAGTGAAGTTATTCAAATAAAAATAAAAACCTTATTAAAGTTTATAATAAACTGATGTGGCGACCTGCGATGTTAATGAGATGACATGGCGAAAAATATCCTACTTTGGGAAATAAGTCTAGAAGTACCCTAGTTTGGGAAATAAGTTTGAAAAATAACCCTCTCCGGGAAATAAATCAACAACACTGGATCCTTTGTCGCAATCCTACTGTCACACACTAATCTCGTCGCCGCCGCCGCTTTGTAATCGTCTGGTCTACAGCTGTCTTCCTCCACCCGACTCTGCTTCAGCTTAGACAGAATGCCACGAAAGCCCCCAGAGAACCACTACTTCACCGATAGCGAACAAGAGAAGAAGGGCGCTGAGTCGCTGACCATCTAGTTTGAGGTGCTTGAGTCCAGACAAGTCCTTTGAAGCTTTTGACAAGCTCAAGTTGATTGAGTTTGCTACATTTTATCCAAGTGATTTCTCAAGTATGGAGCTAGTAGTTCTTGAAAACCAGTTGGAGACTTATATTCCTGATATGCGAATTGAAGTAATGATGAATTTTCAGAGTTGAAAGGAATTGCTTGCCTTGCAGAGATGTTGGTGAAGACGGGGAAACATCGTGTTTATATGTTAGTTTATTTACTTCTGAAGTTCGCATTGACATTACCTGTTGCTACCGCCAAGGTTGAAAGAGCTTTTTCAGCCATGAAAATTGTGAAGACCGAGTTGCGAAATCGGATGGAAGATGATTGGATGAATGACTGTTTAGTTCCTTATATAGAAAGTGATGTGTTTCATAGCATTGATGATGAGTTAATTATTCAACACTTTCGAAATATGCAAGCACGTCGAGGACAACTATAAAAGGTACTTTTTCTTTTACTATATCTATATATTTTATTTAGCCTTTTTTAGATGTAGTGTATATATTATTAGTGTTATATATGTGCATACACTGGGTCCCGATGCCTAGGTCCGCCACTTCTTGTAGCATCTCAAAAAAGATCTTTTATTTTTTTTAAAAGCTCTTAAAAATTGTCATGCCAAACATATAACTAAAAGTTTGTAAAGACTTTTTGAACAGTACAAAAGCTAGAAGTCAGAGACTTATGCCTGCCAAACATAGCCCTATTATAAAGAAATTAGTCTAGGCCCAACTTTTCCCAAATTTTTTGGGCTTAGGGCCACCGCCCCTTGCCTCCCCCATAGCTTAGGGCCGCCCCTGGGTCAATTCACTATAGCGGTGGTCACTATACCATAGTATTGTAATTAGTCACTATAACATGAGGGATTGTAACTAGGACGGCGATCACTGGAGCGGTAGTAATTGGGAATTGGGGTTGTACAGTTTGAGACGATACTCACCGAACGGTGGTCACTGAAACAATATTAACTAAAACGATGGTCAATTGGTCACTGAAGTGGTAGTAATTTGTATCATTTCCATATCCAATAACTACATAGTATCCATATTGAGAAATAATTTAAAAAAAAAAGCATCAACGGTTAGAGATGACATTCTTACGTTGTTAAGCAGCACACTCTTACGCAATGCAATTTTACGGAGTAATGTTATGCGATTGCATTGCTGAACACTTAGGACGGGTAATTTAGAAAGTAAGTATTAATTAGTCACATTTTTGGAAACTAAGAAAAATGTCTCTTCATTAAAAAAATGTTTCATTTTGTCTAATACTATTTTTTAGTAAATTCATGTCAACATCCCGAAAGTAAAAGAAAAAGTAAAGAAAAAGGGTCAAATAAGCTCTTCTACTACTTCCAATACGTCACTTAAACCTTGTACTAAAAAAGTACTCTGTATCATGTAAGTACCCCTATTTTGCAAAATTGATCAATTTTACCATTTAAGAAGTTTTTGATCTATAATAGCAGGGTTTTAATATGTAAGTATTCAAAAATGTTAAAATTTTAAGAAGTATATACAAAAATTTGTGAAAACTTTCACAATATCAAAGTCAATATTTTTTTATTTTTTAAAAATAGCATTGATACCTAGCACATGGATGTGGTCATACTCTGAAACTTCAGGCGTGAAATATTCTCCTATCGTCTACCCCTGATAGAGAGGGTTGTCGTGCGCGACATAAGCTTGGAATGGAGGAGACTGAGATCTGGCTTGTGGGGCTGGTCTTGGTTGCACATGAGGTGCTTGGTACAGAGTTTGAAAAAGATTAGTTGGAAGATGATGCTGATTTTGGAAGTTTGGATCCTTAAAATTCGGGTTTTGAATGTTTTGACGTGCTCCTTGCCATTTTGAAATGGAAATTCGGGAGCAGTAGAGGTGTTTCGAAAGA